CGCCTCACAAGCCAACAGAAGGCAGCCCTCCCTCTCCTGCCTTTCATCTTTAAAATAAGACATCCTGTCTGCGTCACCAGGTTTCCCCATTTAGGAACAATCGAAGCCCGGCAGAGTGGGAGGCCGTGCGCCGCGGAGACGCACAGCGGACCGAGCGGTCCTTAGTGGGGCGCGTCGCCCACCGACACAGCCTAAATGGGGACGAGAGCAGAAAAAAGGTTTCAGATGAGCCCATTAGAGCCATCTGACAGCGACTACCTTAATGGCGCTGGAAGCTGATGAAGACGATTTTATTGAGTGCTGCCAATGACTCAGCACCTGCAGGACGGCGGGGAGCATGATCCGAATGCCCACAACAGCGCGATTTACACGCGAGGTGCCGTGAATAATACGTCGGGTCCCAGTTAACGTTAATAATAAATCACCGCGGCCCCGATTTTCCGTTCCATACCCGTAGGGAGCAAAGGCGATCTGACGCGCGCTTTCCGAAGCGACACCAGCAACGCGCTGCTCCGGCAGTCTCTCTCAAACAGAGGAGACTGTTCCGCCATGAGGCGGGCCACCCGCGGGATGAGCGCGATGAAGGAACGGCCGGACTGTCTGGGCAAAAACCTCCAGACAGAAACAATGGCGGCAACCGTCACTTCCGCTTGGCCAGCAGACCGACGGAGTGAACGGAGTGCTTCTGAGCCCTCAGCAGATGAGCGTGCCTTCGCTCTCCCCACGCCCCCCCCACCCCGGGGCAGCAGCTCCTCCATGTCGTCCGGCTCTCTTCAACGCCCTACCTGCTGGAGACCATAGGAAGATGGGAGGTCTGCTAAGTAAATTGACTGGGCAGCGTGGAGCAAAATACAGAATCTCTGTGGCCCCTGAAAGCTGGACGTCTGACACCTTCTGCGTTTAGAGCTCCTTTCGTTCCCATGCTCACAGCTGTCTGGAGCAGGCAGAAGGACGGGCGACACTAGCTGCCCAGCTGCCTGCGTGGTGCTGAAGCTTCTCCATATCCGGTTTAGCAGGGCGGCACATAGGGTTTTCACTTAACCTGAGCGGGCCGTTTGGACAAAGCCTGCTGCGAACCATAAGGAGCCGTGTGCCCAGCCCGTGAGGAACCTCGCAAGAGTGCTCTGGAAGTCTGGCGTGCTGCAGTCCAGCGTGAGACTTGGAAACAGACAGCTGCTGAATTGCAACCTCATAGGCAAAATAACCATCAGCTAATAAGGATCCTGCGCTGGAAGGGCCTGAAATTCAGTGTTATTGCTTAAACCATCCATGGGCCTGTTGTCTTTCTAGAGAAAGAGAACAGGAGTGAACGCAGCTCAGGGGCACGTATCTGAACACGGCCTATCCCTCACCCCCCCCCCTCCACTGTGACTCACCGGCGTCGCAGGTCCTCGGCCACAGTGGCGCGGCAGCTGAACAGGTACGCGCGCAGAGACTGCAGCTGCTGGCGGAGGCGCAGCACGGCAGCCAGCGCCTCACAGTGCTCGTACAGGCATGGGTTCAGCTGCTGGATGTCCAGCAGGGGCTCCTCGTACACAAACTCCAGGAACTCCTTGGCTTGCTTAGACACCTGGGGCAAGGACAGAGGAATCATCACTGTGACAGACAGTGACACTGGGCGAGAGAGGTGTTAAGCATCATCAGTGTGACAGACAGTGACGCTGGGTGAGAGAGGGGTTGGGCATCATCACTGTGACAGACA